ATTAAAACTGCATGTTCTCCTGAGCAGAGACAGTAACTGGACTGTTGGTTTCCTCTCTGGGCTTCATGCTCCAGTGAACCAACCAGCTTCCTCCTCCCCTCCAGTAAAAGACACAAAAAAAGCCCTTTTGTCTCCAGTGTCCTGAAAGAGAGGTCACTGTGGATGTCCCCTGTCTAACACTTTCTGCTTATTGTCGCTCTTATTCCCTTTTTAAATCTGATTATTTTAGCAGTCGTTACTTATTCCACTGCTTTTGTCTGATATGGACTCGTAAAGATTTCATCTGCTGACACAAGAAACTCATTCTTCCGTCAGATGTTCTCTGTGGCCTGTTTTGTGTCTCGCCACTAACTTAAATAACCCGAAGGTGGAACGTTTCACATAAATGCACCCATGAATATTTTAGTTTAAACAATCTGAGTCTTTTAGCGATTGAACTGTTTTAGCGTGAGCAGCAGGCTGCAGAGGCGGAGCTGAGTTAACCATTTAACAAATCTGTTGATCAAGCTTGTTCAGTCTAGACTAGTGGGACTACTAACAGGATCAGGGCACCGATCGGCGCACAAGAAAGACACACAAGAGTCGACCAAGGCAGCAAACCTCCCTAGATTACTTCCTACGAAAGTAAACCCAACAGAAACACTCTGAGTAGCGCCGCTTTTCAGAATCCAGACAGTGATGCAGTCCAACAACGTCCGTCAGTGGGAAGCCACTATGCTTCTGCAGTATTGCAGGACAAGGACTACAGATGTTGCTCATGAGGGATTTTCCTTGCGTGAGATGCACGGCCTCGTCCTCTGCTCGCTGGAATTTTAAACAGGTTTTAAAAACTGGCACATAATTGATCACAAAATGGTCTGAATGCCATTGCAAGCGTCTGGAGTTGTGATGTAGTTTCCATCAGAAATGAAGTGTGAGACAACTTTGGGAGGGGTTTGAAAGACACTGGCTAAAATTCACCATATTCTCCACGTCACTCCACCATGAAAAACTCCCAAATGTGTCGAACTCAGAAATATTCAAGTGGAAATGTTTTTTTTAATTCTTTTTCTTAGTGTGAGCAGTCGTGGCCCTTTAGATCCTGGGTTCACCACCGTGGATGCTGCTTGGTGTGAGCCTTCATGCAACAGACTGTGATGTGCTGTGTGTTCTGACACCTCTCTCTCAGAACCAACATGAACTTTTTTCCTACAGTTACAGCTCCGGTTGCTCTTTTAACTGGACCAGACAGCACAGTTAAGTCTTCACTCGCCACATTCACGAGATCTGCGCCGGGCTGAACTAACTCACTTCACATCTTGTCAAAGTTGCATAGATTTCTGTTTGTCTCTCTTGATTGAAGCAGAATTTTGTGTCAAATGCATTAAACCATCTCAGAACATCTCTGCATCTTATTCTAGACCTATTCTGCAGAACTGGGCTTACCGCTGTGTCAACAGCCATCAAACATCCACCTCTATGATGCATTAAAACACTGTAGGAACAGAGCGCACAAGTGTTGCCTTATCAAGGTTACATCATTTGAGCTCTCTGAGCCGATGTGGTTAAAGAGAAGCTGTGATGAATATGGAGCGAGTGTGACAGGAGGCGCCACAAAGGAGTATCTGCTGTGGTAGCTTCTGCAGTTCTTCTGTCAATACATACAGCTGCTTTGAATATTATCGAAATGTAAATAGGCTGATGTTGGAGCCAGACATCGGTGAGAGTGTGTTTTAATAACAGTTAGGTTGCATTTAAACTCTCATCCATTCAGGAACAACATAATCGTGTGCTCTGGGCTTTTAACAACTGTGTGTGTGTTTTACTTTATTTTTAAGGAGGATGAGTGTGCGTGTGGGGGTTATTGCGGCAGCAGCTCATTGTTGCCATGGTGACAATTGAAGTTGGAGCTGAGGTTGAGGCTTCTAGTGTATTTGAAGTGGATGCTGTTGCATAAGACAGCGAGTAACACACTGACTTGCACCATGCAGGGCCTTTACCGAGCTCGTTTTGGAGGATTATGTGTGTATTTAGTCTGTGATGAAGCTGGAATGTGGGGACTGAGTCATGCGTTTGCCCCACAGGAGACACACAGAAGACTGAATATTTCATAACCTCTCCTGGAGACTAAAAATACCCACCATCCAGGTCATTTTCTGCATAGCAGAAACAAAGAAATGTTTTTATTGACTAATAGTTTTGTGTTTACTATTAACTGAGTAACTGTTGCTCTGTGGGTGACTCCTTTGATTCTTTATTGTTCTGGGTGTAAACTTTTAAACATGTGGAATTCACTGAAAAAACACTTTTTAATGATTATTTCTGTTCATAGTTGAGTTTTTCATGCTGGCTGAACATGAAAATAGTCTCCTACACCATTCTGCTGCATTAGCTTTTGATAGAAAATAGACGGTGAAACGCTAGAAAAGCCTGACAGATCTGTGCCAAGCAGTCGCGTTGCTGTTATCCAATCAGAGGTGAGATGTCCAAATATCAGGAAATAAGACTCCAAATCTTGTCGTCTGACGCTCTGATGTGGCAGACTTGTCCATGCTGATGAAGGCGTTTCTGGGCTTTTTTTTTGCCCCGAGTACGGCTTAAAAGGCACTCATTCCCACCACAGGCCTCTGCAAATATATTGATTAAATGAGTTCCTCACACCTTTAAACTTTTGAGACAAACACTAAAAATGCCTGAAAAGGTCAGCAAGGCCATGTTGAAATATTAAAGCACATTTTGCATCAGCTTATTCCCCATGTTCTGAGTCCTGACATTTTGTTTTACCAATCCTAAACGTCAAAATCACTTATATCTAATTCGCCACATCTGTGTTTTATTCTACTCTCCACAGACTGAGACGTTGTGATCTTACTGGCATTATGAGTTCATAAAAGCAACAGCTTAGGAGAAACGTATTAAAATGTTCTACATAAAGAGTCACAATATAATATTTTCACATGTCTGCGGCTCGTTGAGTATGCAAGGGAGATACTTTGTTCTCTTTGAGCATCCTCAACTGGCCTCACTGGTTCACTTTGTTTAGCAGATGTAGAACAATAATTGTTGGAGGAAGTTTTATGTTGTGCTGACTCAAAGCAAGGCTGTTGGGGGAATCATTAAACTGACAGAAAGACCTTGTATTGAGACTAATTATCGCCCCTCTGCCCTGGAGACAAACACATATGCATTCCATCTCGCTCTCTTTATATGTTTACTGGCAGACCTCCAGCAGCAGCCATATAAAATGATAGAAGAAGAAAAAGAAAGTTGCATTCTGAAGCGCGGCGCCAGAAGGTGCCGGCAGCAGCCGTGCAGCAGGCTGCTGCCTCGTCCTCAGCTCATCTCTTTAGAAAAGTCGGTACCTGGCACAGTCAGAGCCTTGTGACCAAGAGCAGAATGGATGCTTTTACTGGAGTCCAACTGTGTGTTTTTGTCTGTCTCTGTGTTGAGTGCCTGGGGAGAATCAATACATGATTACAAACTCCACAAATTAGCATTTTTGTGTAGGAGCAAAAGGAAAAGTGAAATTCATGAGAACAGGAGGTGGTTAGCTAGTTTAGGTCAGTCGGTTAGTTTGGAATAAGTCCCAGTTTCACTGAGAACATACCTATTGATATATCTGTCTTCACCTGAATGCAGTTTGATGTGTAAGAGGATCCTTCTCATTTTAAAGGGACATTATGGAAGTTTGACAGCCAAAACATGTGTAGAAATAATAAATTTCTTCTTCATACATTCTCCTGCAATGCCCTGGTCCTGTAGAATGAGCCCTGGCATTTTTACTGTGATTGCCTGTTTTTCTGTAAAATCACAGAAAAAGAGAGATGCTCGGGTCGAGCAGGCTGCTTCATGTGTGTTCACGCTCACGCATAGCCTGTAGCATTTGCTATCCGTAGCTTTAGCAGCAGAGAAAGAGGTAGTGCCACTATGTCGCTGTTCCTAACACCTAGTGACAAAGCTAGCTACATTTCTGAGGACACTTAGCTACTTTCTTCTAGATATTTCCTGCAAATTAGCAACAAAATAGCCACTTTTGCTCCAAACCGTTCCTTGAACGTTGTTTCAGCTGTCATCAAGGGTATAAAAGTTACAGATACAAAGGTCGTCACTGGTGCTTTAGCTCACCTAGTAAGACGTCGGACTCTCGTGCAGAAGACCTGAGATTGATTCTGGATGTGAACATAGTTTATTTAGAGTTTCCTTTTTTTACATTAATGGTATATATTTTTTCAACAGTAAGATGCCCAAATTTTTATTTGAGACTCGCCGAACGGCATTGAATTCACAGATAAAAAAGATGTGGGTTCAACTTTCATTTTGGAACAATTTTTCAAGCAAGGGAAGGGAATGATCTGAGCATGCAGGAGGACTGACCCATCTTAAACCTTTGTCGGCTGTGCTGAAGAGAAAGGTACAGAACCAAATTATTTAATTAATTAGCTGCGCGTTCTCCTGTCCTCTGTCCTCCAGGCCACACACACACACACACACACACACACACACACACACACACACACACACACACAAGGGACTGTCTCAGCTGTTATTTTCTTTAAGGAGTGTGCACGTACAGCATGCGCGCCTCGTGCACGAGCCTACTATTGACGCTGCCGTTACGCTTTTGGCCTGAGGGGGCAATCACGAGCATAAAAATTCAAAACTCCGTAAAGTCCCTTTAACTTGAGCAAATTTTGTTTTCATATGTCAGTGGGATTAAAAGTAAGCAGAATAATTACCCTTTAAATAATAATTATTGCCATAAATAAATGGTAATACCTGAGTATGTCAGTCCGTTTGTTTTGAACATATATTTAGCTGATGTGACATCTCACATAAAAGCAGATCACAGTCACATATTATTACAAACATTTGCTCATATGTGTTTGATATTAGAATGAACTCTTGTTTTCCCCAGATGTAAACGGCTCTGTGAACCTTTTTCTGTTAGCAGTGTTCTTCTCTTTTAAAGCCTAAAGAGAAATTTCCCCCTGATATCTATATTTTTGTCTGTCTTTCTCTAGGTGTTAAAGATCAACCTTATTGGCCACAGAAAACGGATCCTGGCCTCGCTGGGAGACCGGCTACACGACGACACTCCCCAGAAACCTCCTCGAGCCATTTCCCTAAGGGTAAGTGAAGGCAAATTAAATTATGTATGAAGCCTAAAATCGCTGAGCAGCATCCAAAACAATAAAGATTTGGTTCAATGGGATGTCATCAGCGACAGCAGCTCTTTTTCTCTCTTGGGGAGATCCAGAACCACCATCCTGCTGTGACCACCAACAACTCCCCAAACCTCTGAGGCTGCAGCAAAATGAACAACCTACTGCCTATGTCCTCCTGCTGGCTTGTCCTGAATAATGATTACGATGAACTGGTTTTACTTACTAGTCATTACACCGTAAATAAAAAAACAAAAACGTACATTTCATGGTAAAACGCTGGCAGCTGGAGTTGCCAGAATGGCACTGTAAAATTACAGGCACAACCTTTTTCTTTTACGGTAAGAAGGTATTTTGTTTTAATGGCTAAAAATGGTACAGACGTCTGTATTTTACTGTCGAATTTTTTTTTTACTTGGAAAAAAATACCAAAACATTTTCGCTTTAAAATGAACATGAAAATAATCTATAAAATTACATTTGTGCCAGTAAAGACATTTTTTCCACACCAAAAAAAAAACTACATTTCAAAGGATTTTCCCACATTACATACAATAAATTCATAGAATGAAATAACCAACTAACTGCCATTGAGGTCATTGTTGTTCAGCTGCACTAGTGTGTAAAATTGTAGCAGTCATGTAGAGTCAATGATGACATCAGTATTGAACAGCAGCACAGCCTTCGCATGCATTCACGAGTCAGGTTCAGCTAGACCTCACCTAAATGTCGCCAAGCACACTGGGAAACAGGAAGTAAACCCCTTAAACCATTACCAGCAAATAAAAGCTTCATTTATCCCCCCAAAATAAATGTAAAATCATAGTGTTTAACCATTATAAACTTTAAGGACATTAAAAAATTGATGCAAGAGTGCTTTACAGTAGAGTTTTATATTTTTTTACATAGAAAAAGTGTTAAAAAGACTGTTTTCACCAATTCGTTTATATACAGCAACCTCACATAAAATCAACAGTTTAAGATAATTTTCTAGCTGATGGATTTTTCCTGTCATGGTTTTACGATTTATCACTGTTAAATATACCGCTATTTTTTACAGTGTACAACTCCCTCATGTCCATAGAAAAATCGACTCTGAGCCAAAGGAAATCCTATGCAGCAGTAGAGGTTTCACTCATGCTCTCATCTCGGTCTGTCCAAACAACCAATGTGTGACTCGAGCCCTTCAAAGAAGAAAAACACAAATTAGTGGATTTATCCAAGGACAACTTGTTCTAGTGTAACTCGGTGACAAACTTGTGATGGAATTAAAAAAAAAATTTTTCAGGACATAAAATAAAATATTAACGGTGAGTGGAAAACTGTTTTATCCTAAAAATAAAATATTAGGTTCAGTTCTGCTCAATCCCGTACTTGGTATGTGATGTCCTCCCTGAATTGTGAGTCTGATATGAACATTAAACCTGCAACTGTGATTGCAGCTAAAGATGATATGAATGAATAAACCAAGAGCACATTTTATACTCTTCACAGGTTTGATAAACTGATCAACTGTATGAGGATCTCACCAACATTGAACTAAAATACCCGAAGACAGACCTGTTATTAAGTGGCGTCACACAAAAGGACCAGCAGCGAGTTGAAGCTGAAAATAAAATGTGACATATAACTCTGTGCTGCCCTGCGTGTGAGCCACAATGACACAGCACATAATGAAATGATGAACGAAGCCTCACTTGTTTTCCTTCCACCTCACCGATCTGCTGCACCAGGAGCCCGCGGGAAACCACACCCCTCCCCAGCTCAGCCCTTCGGTCGGCCAGCAAGCGTATACAGCGGGGGTCCCTGGCGGATCTCTGGACGTGCAGCACCTCATCATGCAGGCGGACGCCCGGCGCAGGCAGCGCAGCACCGAGAACTACTTCGAGGATGTACCGCGATCTAAGCTGGAGCGACAGATGGCTCAAGTCAGCGTGGTGAGGAGGGAAGGGGGAAACTCATGGATGAATTAGTCAGTAGATAACCACAGATATGAGGGTTTGATCAGAGAAAATCAAACAAAATGCTTCTAAAAGTAGTTTTAAAGTCCTTTAAAAACGATATCGAAAAGCTTTTCATTACATTTCTGCATGTTTACTTTTAAACTCAGTTCCTGTTTGTCCCTTAGGATCAGTCTAATCTGTTATTGTAAATGAAAGGACTTATTCGAATTTAAAGCTTCTTTCCGGAGTATTTCTCTTATCTAATGGCACCATCTAGTGGCTGACAAGCATATCACACAAAAACGCTGTTCCTTAGTTTTTTTAAGATGGAGACTTCAAGTTTCTGTTTATAAATGTGCTTCTGTAGCCGACAAACAGCTAAAACACGACGTTTTACGAGTATTATTCTCATGTCATGTTGTGTTCTCATATATTTATACTTTTGAGACTTACTTGTCCGTGAAAAGTTCATCAACTCTGCATCAGCCGAGGTATTCCTTAAATTTGAAGCGTCTAAGCCAGGGGTGTCAAACTCATTTTAGCTCAGGGGCCACAGTGAGGGAAATCTAGTCCCAAGTGGGCCGGACCGGTAAATAAAATAAAAAATTCAGATTGTTTTCTTTGTTTTAATACAATCAATATAAAACAAGGCTGGAGCCTGAGGACAGTGTAGTACAAGTACAACACCTGAAGTGTGGGAACATTTGAAAAAAAAAAATCAGCAAATTAAAAAAACATTCCTTAGTGATTCAAAGAGCTTACAGGTCACATGGCTAGATCAGTTTCATGCAGCACTTAAAGTATATTTGACTCATTTTACTTAAAATCTTTTAGCTTTCACCAGCACATCAACATCAGAAGTCACATCCTGAGTGGCAGACAACTTCAGGATGGGATTCAAATTCTTGTGTGAGCCTTGAGCGCAGCTTTGTTTTATTTATACTCATTACAGAGGAAACTTGCTCACAAAGATGTTTATTTTCACTCTACATTGTAAAGTATGAAAATAAAGTTTACACAACCATCTCGCGGGCCGGATTTAACCCACTTGCGGGCCGGATTAGGCCCGCGGGCCGCATGTTTGACACCCCTGGTCTAAGCGGCAGTCTAACGCTATTGGTTTGTTCTGGTCGGCACTCAGTTTCTTATTGCACGGAGCTCTGCCGGGCAGGGGGCGTGCTTAGCAAATAAATAAATAGACGTATTGCTTATATTACATCACAGTACATGATAAGATAATCACTTTTACAGATTTCTGACAAATCATACATAATTTCTGAAAGAGGAAAACGCCGGAAAGCAGCTTTAAGGACTAATAAATATAAAGGAAATCAGAGATATTTAAATGACTGTAAAATGTTGATTTAAAACTAGGCGTAGCTGGCACTCTGACATGTTTCCAAACATGTGTTAAGAAAGTTCCAGATGTATTTATGAAACCAGGATTTTCCTGCAATATCTTCAAACAAACATTAAATATCTCCGGATGTCGTCTAAAATGCAGATCTATAACTTTTGAATCAGCACCATTACAAAGATCCACACCCACTTATCAGTGCAGCTGTGTTCTGGTTTACTCTGATTAGGGTCTTTTTGTGTGACGGCGTGAATCACAGGGCTTATCGCCGCAGAAAAACACACACTGGTGAATCCCAAATATGCATGTGTCAGAGTGAATTTCCTCCATTCTCAAATCAACACTCTGAGCAGGCGCTGGTGAGTCAGCCTGGCAAGAATAGAAGGGTAACTATCACAGAAGGGAGGATGGGTCTCTCTGTGGCATTACCCCTGCTGTAATGTTCTGTTTGTTGTTCAGACGGGTTACCTTTCAGTCACCGTGGCGCTTCCTCTGTTCTACAAAGAACTTTTCTTAGCTTCTGTTTTTATTCTTTAATTGGGCTAAAGTTTAAATAAAAGCTCTAAACGTGAAATCGGTGGAATTTGACCTGAACTTGGCCTGCCGGTGTGACTGAACACTTAATTTGGGGATGTTTATCCAACATCTGCCTTCCACATTCCTTCACCAAGTCTCTGGCAAACAAAAACAGTCAGATATGGACACAGAGGGTAGGCGAATATTTTGAGGAAAAAAAAAATCTCAATTAGAAAAGAATGAAGCCAAAGCAAAACTGCAGATGTTTGAGAAGGATGTAGTCTAGGTGAATCCTCTGGTTAGAAAGGTGAAGGCTCACCGAGTCTGAAAAGTGATGAAGTGATTTAGGCTGAGCTCAGAAGCACAAGCACGCCCCAGCTGGAAGAATCCCCCAAGTAAAATTCAATGTTTCATTTAAAATATTCACACATCCATCACGTCAACACCTTGCTATTATTAACATTCTGATGCGTCAACGGTTGCTCTCTCAGGCAGGTGAGTGGTGTGAGCCAATCACGTTGCGTCCACCCAACGAGGCGACCTCGTCCACTCCTGTGCAGTATTGGCAGCATCACCCGGAGAAGCTCATCTTTCAGTCCTGTGACTACGAAGCTTATGTGAGTATTCTGGTTGTTAAGATTCCCCCAGATCCAGGGTTTCTGCAGAAATCAGCCCATCTGATTGAATGTTTTTAATGCCATTTGTAACACAAACAAACCAACAAACCACTCATTGCTGTTTAACGGCGCGAGCGCATGTTTAAGATGGCTGCCACGCGTTACTTGCATTGATTTGAAGCTTTGCTTGTGCGCATCCCCCAAAATTAAAGCGACGAGTTTTAACGCTGCCACACGCATGTAACCAGTAGGTGAAGCTGACAAAATGAGCCAGACACACTCACCATGATGACCTAACCAGTAAGTGAGCTCTTTTATTGACACCATGTTTGTTTTGGTTGGACCTACAAACCCGGCACTTTATCTGGTCTGAGTTTTCTAGTGCGCCCCCAGTGGAAAGCTCCAGTACTGCATGTGGTGCAGTGCGGTGTAGCAGCAAGTGATCAAAGACACAGCCTGCGCCAACCCAAGGTTAAACATCAAGTATATTCCAGGCCTACAAAATAGCACTATACTAGACACTAGAGCGTCTCTATATATGAACCAATGATGCTTTGTGTTGCAACGATAGTTGTGCTGCTTGTGGCAACTGCATGTTAGCATTGTACCATACTTCATTATTCTTTTTTTCTTTTCTTTATACAAACACTGCAAAATCCATCACCTTGATCATTGACGAGTTGCAGCCATCTCCTAAATTCCAGCCCATTTGTAATTTTTTCCATTTAATTCACTTTATCTATTATATAGCACCAAATCATGACGAGTCATCTCAAGGCACTTCACAAAGTAAACATTTGCATCGAGTCACTGACTAGTATGAGTCTTTACAGCATGTAGCCCGCACCCCACACAACATATATACCAATTAGTATTTCTACAGCTACATTGTGATTTCTTCTAAGAAATGTTCTCTTTCTTAGTTGATATTATATTTAATAAGAGATAAACTTTGTTGTCTTTATCTTTCCTCAAACTCCTGCTCCCACGTACGCCAGTTCTGTTCAAACGTCCAGTATTATGACAGGTCAGAAGCTGTTGCTGATATGGTGCACATGTTGATGCTAATACACAACTTAAGAGTGAACCACCATTTATATTTTTATCACTTTAAAACAACAGATGCAATGCTTTTTAATGCCATTTAAGACTTACATTTTTGTTAACTCATTTAATGCTTCGAAACCTTGATATTAGTCCACTGTGGAACTAAACAAGCCTCCTTAACCTTTGTTTTGATGCTGTTTTTTCTTCATGAGAAACAACAACATTATTGGTAAGAGTGGTATCGTGTTTCTCCTAATTCACATATGTCACTTTAGCTCAATAACCACCTTTTCCACCAAGTCAGAGACACTTTGACACAACCGCTCTGCTTCTGGACAGAACGGGTAAAACAATACCTGCTTCACTGTAACTGCAGGTGGTGTGATAAAGGCAGGGAAAAGGAAAAGGCTGGTAGCAGCAGCATGATCAGCTTCAGCATGTCTGAGCTGTTGGAAGATATGAATGACGGGAGGACCGCCAGAGGAAACGTGGTGCCTCTTTAATGACATCTTCAGAGCTGAAGAAAGCTCAGTGAGTTAAATGAGACAGAGTGGCAAGCCGAGCACTCAGAGTGGATTCTGGTGAGGTGATGGCGCCGTGGAGTGAATAGGAATACGGACAAGATGCTAGGGGGATGTTGGGAGGACTATTGTATGTTTGTTTTAGGAGAACTGAGATGCTGAATGGTAAAAGAAAGAGGAGACTAAAAGATGCATGAGAGCTTGTTCTTTAGCTCTACATAAACAAAATCTTCTCTGTTACTTTCAGCTCTACCTCAGATAACAACTTTATTATGTCAGTTACATTATCATTACAAATTCTTCTCCCACAAAACCCTGCAGGCCTCAACAGCCTATAATATTCTCTCTACTCACTCTGTAGATGCATCTAATGTACAAAAATACCAGTTGTATTTAAATCTAACTTTTGATGCAACTACTAAGGTAAAATAAAATTGATTTTGGGCCGTGTCCCTCATCTGCATTTGAATTTTAGCCCCAAACACTCACTAAATCATTGCAATCAATGAAAAACAAATATTAAAATGTTTCATTTTGCAAGAATGCTCCGATCTTTAGGCTTTCTGAATGATGCACACCCCCGCCGCTGTGGTGTTTTAAAAGTCGGCACAAGTAAAGATTGCAGAATGAGGGTAAAACACACCGGCAGCAAAAGATGTCTGTAAAACAAAAGTCTTCGTTATCAATTATGATACATTTTGAGCATAATTTTCGTTTCGTCTCGTCAGCGAAAACTCCCGCACGTCTCGTCATGTTTTAGTCACCAAAGAGCTATATTTTTATCTCGTCAGCATCTCGTTTTCATTATGTGAAAAAGGGGCGTTAATGAAAACAACACTGCACTGGACAACCAGGCTCCTGTAGAAGTTATGGTCCTCGTGGTGTTTATTTATTAATCATGACTGATCGATCAAGTAGGAGATTGAGCTTATTTAGTGTCTGCATTTGACTGATGTCTGAAAGTTACAGAATAATTAATTAATTATAAACAGTCCTGATGTTAAACATTGTTACTGTGTACTATATTTAAGTTAAATAAGTCTTATTTGTCAGCTACAAGCTCAACTCTGCCACCTGCTGATATAAATCTGCATCTGCAGTCTTTTTCAAATATGTTGTAAAAACTTTATTAATCAATCAAAGGTTATTTAAGTAAAATGTACTCTTCTAAGAATGTGTAGCCTGCAGGGCACCCTATAGAATGAAGCTTTCAGTGAGTGTGTGTGTGTGTGGGATGTCACTTGATGCTTATTTTGATGAACCAGTTTCATAAACACCGTGCTTATCCACCTGTCGTCTCAGCTTTGCTGCATATGACATCAACTAAATATTACAGGATCTGTTTCTTGACTAACTCGAGGGCAGATTTACAGACATTAGCCTGTCTGTAGAGGCTTCAATCTAATAGAGTTGTGTGTGCACACCAAAGATGACTAGATCTGATGCTGTTAGCTACACTCAAGGCAGAGTATTAACATCACCAGACAAGCTTTGTCTGATACGCCAAGGTCCAGACTCGGCAACAAAAAACAAGACTGATCCAAAGTCTGTCCGTGTAATTAAATTATCCTGTAATCCAATTTGTTTCTGTTACCAAATGTAATGATGTGAGGTCAACACTGAGGTCCTTGTTTTGTCCGTTAAGAGTTAAACAGATGAGACGAAAACATTTTAAAGCATTTTTTGCGTAATTTGCTAAAAGCCTTGTTAGGATCCCACTTTAGGGACTAAGGTCCCTTCCATAGGCAGGACAGAGACTGTGAGGTGGTGAGTGTCATCCATTAAGTGCTCTTTTGTTGACATCAACATAGCTGCTGTAAAATGGCACCATTAGTAGCTTCTTTATTAAATCAGATATCGTAAAGTCACATCCTGACGGAAGGATCAGCAGCATTAATGGACCTCTGGGAGCCTCTCAAGGCTGGTGTCACCACCACCCTGTGTGTTTGTGTCTTATTATAAAAGCTCTAGCAAAACTTAATGGAAGCTTCCTTCATCAAGACAGAAACACGTAAAGACGTGTAAACTTTTTATTTTAAACCCTTTTCCAGTTAGCTAGTATGAAAGTTTATGAGCCTCCTGGATCGTAGACTGCATTCACATCCTACAGATGCTATCAGCCTGATATTAGGAACATTTGGAGGCCTACTGGTTCAGATTCTCTCATCAGATGAATGTGTTAAGAAGCATGACTTAGTTTATTCATCAGTGGTCATAATGCCATGGCTGATTGGTGTAAGTGCCTGAGTCTGTGGTGGTGCAGCAGCTGTCAAAAAAAAAAAAGGAAAAAAAGTGGCAACAGGACGTTGCGTTCAGCATCTGAGGTTTCTGGTAGGGATGCAACAATGCCACTTTTTCCCTAACCGATACGATACCGATACTTGGATCTGGGTACTCGCCGATACCGATTTCCAATACCGATACTTCTACCACACAAAAAAAAGCTATGATTTGAAATACAGATTTTATTTTCTTCTCTGTTTTCAACAGGAAAAGAATGTGAGGTAGATAAAAAGTAAAATATATGAATGGAAATCATCACAAAACTAAAATATTACGTGAACAGAAACGACAAGTTACAGTGAAGCCATTTTCAAGCAACTGCATTGGTATCGGTTCCTGGTATCGGTTAACTTTTACCGATACTGGTATTGATCAGACTCATCTTCATCCAAACGGCTCTGAAGGTTCACCCAGGATGACTCCACCTGCAGATGGAATGTAGGTGTATCCTGGTTGGGGAATAACACGTAGGCTCAGATTTATTGTAAATCCTACAGAGGAGACTGTGCTGCTGGTTTCAGTAAAACCTGTTGTGGACATGCTTTTCCTCTTGAGTGTGTATTTACCCCAGCTCCTGTTTGTGTCTCGTTACCAGTACCTGGGCTCCATGCTGGTGAAAGAGCTGAGAGGAATAGAGTCCACGCAAGACGCCTGTGCCAAGATGAGGGTAAAGCTCAGTCTAACGCACGCCACCTTTTGTGTTCCCTTAAACCTTTCTCGAGACGAGCCTGAAGTGTCATGTAGGGAGATTAAAAAGCACTGAGGGATTTATTTAGACTTGTTTTTATGGTTTTCTTGATCCTCCTCAATCCACCTTTTACCTCCTATTACATTATCTTTTCAAGTCTCTCCTTTTTCTTCTCTCCCTGCTCACGCCTTCTGTATTTAACTGTAACACTACTCCCCTTTGGCCCTCGGCTCTTTTCACACTCATTCTGAGCCGCTGCAAAGTAAAGATCAATTTTAATATTCATGAGCGAAGCATTCTAGTCTCTGCTTCTGCCATTCCCTGTATTTATTGCTTCATCAGAGGGCATCTTTCCTCCTGACACACCCTTGGAGCACGCAGAGGTTGTAATGAAGTGCAGTGAGGTGAATATCTCATCACTTTGTCCTAGAGCATTCCTAATGAACCTTCTTTCTTTACCTTCGCCTGGCTCTACTCATTTATTTATTCATCCTTTCACAATAATGGAGGCAGATGTGGATGTTTGAATTCCAGCTTCACTCACTGGCTCTGCATCTGCCTTTGCAGTTTTTCCAGCATTAGCTGATCCTGACAGGGTCGGCATGCCAGGAGGGAGGAAAGAACCGAACAAGGCAAACAAACAGATACAGAAAAGATAGCTGACAGACGTTTAAATAGGAGAACTGAGAGGGGAAGAAAACGAGAGAAGGCAGAAAGGGGACTTGGCTCCCATCCTTGAATATATCAAAGCTTTTGGCAGGTAGGAGGACAGCTGGGTGGGTAATCTCTGTAAATTCACAGCTCCTCACTGCATAATGCCTTCCATATAGGTATGGAATCAAACGAGATGTACTGTAGGAGTCTGATGTAACTTCAAGTATTATTGAATCTGCATCAATGCAGTTAATTTGGTTGTATTAATGGTTGTATTTTAATAGAGGGAATCAATAGATGATCAGACTTTTTATCTTTCCCTTCCTTTCTGTTTATTTTTTCTTTCCTTTTAAGGCGGATTCATGTAGCAATAATAAACTCTTTGAAAAGTCACGAGTTCAAGAGTCACCGTTGCTTCTCTCTTCTTTTTGTCTCTACATTTTGTTTCTGCCGCTCTCCAAGAAGTCGACAGAACAGATGAAGAAGGTACCGACCATCGTGCTCTCGGTGTCCTACAAAGGAGTGAAGTTCATCGATGCCACCAATAAGGTAACATGCACGGCGCCAGCGACGCCTACAACAAACAACATGTGAAAGGTCACTGAGCATGAGTGACATTCTGAGGTGTAATGTCTGAACAGCATAAAAGTGTTGATGTCTGGTCTCTGCTGCAGCTTCACAGATATGAAACCGAGACAAAAGTAGGACTAAATCGTTACATTTTAGATTCGCTTTTAGTTTTGCAACGCTTGCAGCAGATTTCTGGTGCATTTTTAATATGAGTTAACGGTTAAATGCTTATACTCTTCTTCTGAGATGTAGTGCACTTCCAGTTTTGTTGGATTTTCAGACTCTCAGCACAAAAGTTTGAAACTGGAAAACTTCTGGGTTTTGATGTTCTTTAATTCACTGCAGCAAAATGGGCTTTAATCACCACTAAACAAAGTCTGAGAGTTCTGTAGTGACATAACCAGAGGATGTACTCCAACTCAACCAATGCCATGCAATAATAATGTGGTTTAGGGATGAATAATAAACCTGGTTTGTTTTTCCATGCTGAAGCTCAGCATCAGCACAGTTCCTGTGTAACGATTAAATTTACATATTATTTAATGAACCATAAGATGTGAAATTCCATAGGAAATATGAAAACAATCTTATGGATCTTTGGATAACTTAAACCAGAAGATTGGAACTTTTTATTGCAGGGATTATGTAACCACTTCATGTTAACTCAGAGACAAAGAGTCAAGTTTTAAAGATTTATTACTAAACAAATTAAAACAAGACTAACTTTAAACACTAGGTGTATGGTGTAACTAAGGTGAAGTAAGACTGAGGATGGTGTATGTGTGAAATGTTCAGAACCAGCAAATCTGGAGAAACGATTAGTTCTGATGGGAGTGAAGATGACGTTTCGCGCTAAGCTTTTGGTTTGGAGATTTATAACACACATTGAGACGCCATTCTGCCAGCCTACGTACCCTTGGCGGAAGTCCCCGTTAGATCAGGAATGTCGAGGTCCAGCTTGACCTCCTCTGGAACCGATGCCGGTAGAAAAGCAGCGGTTGCCGACCAGACCAGTCTTGAGATACTTCCGGGTCACGACAGTTTTATTGGCATCTACCAAGACCCAAAATGGGGTCGTGATGGTTCAGCTTTTATTCTGAAAGGAACCGTGGCAGCAGATTTATCCAGCTTGTCGTCAGGTTCTTTCAGCTGAAGAGGAAAGTTATGGATTGGCCACTCCGACAACTTCTCTAGAAAGCTTTGAACTGAGAGTTCTGTCCTGGTTTGTTTTTCCATGCTGAAGCTCAGCATCAGCACAGTTTCTGCATCTTTTTATCTTTCCCTTTGTCTCTCTACAGAACATCATAGCAGAGCACGAGATCCGTAACATCTCATGTGCTGCTCAGGATCCAGAGGATCTGTCTACATTTGCCTACATCACCAAAGACCTCAAATCCAGTCACCACTACTGCCACGTCTTCACTGCTTTTGACGTGGTCAGTGTTGACACTTAAAGGCGCGTCAGAGTTTTACGCTGTATCCTCACAGCTGTTTCCTTTTCATGTCTTGTTAGAATCTGGCCTATGAGATCATCCTGACACTTGGCCAGGCCTTCGAGGTGGCCTACCAGCTGGCCCTGCAGGCCAGGAAGAGCGGCCACGGATCATCAACGCTTCCAGAAAGCTTTGACAGCAAGCCTGGCAAACCCATCCCCAAACCCCGCATCAACATCCGCAAATCAGTAAGCATCAATTCAGTAAGCAATGCTGACTGAGAGAAAATCCATCCTGAATAAAGAAATCACTACATTTTCCAAAAGGTTTTGTTCAGATAGGTTCAAATAAAAAGAAAAGAAAAGAAAATCTTTTAGCAAACAGTTATCTGAATTTTTATGTAATCAAATGATAAATAATGTCTTTTGGGATGAATTTTCATTTCTGATGTTGCTTTTTTAACCCGTGAACTCAAGTTTAGCATTTTTATATTAGCTTCTGATCAACACTAACCAGCATTCCCCCCATTTTCACTTGACTCGGTCCATAAAAACAACCATAATGATCCATCCCAGTCTACGGTTCCTGCTCACTTACACCATATCCCACTGGAAGCTTGGTTTACTAACATTATTCTGGCTGCTTGTGTCTTTCTGTGTGAGTCTTGGCCCAGTGGACAAAGTGGCAAGGGTCTATGTGGATCTGTTAAGCGTCTATTTGGTCTTGTTCTCCCTGTAGTCTCTTACACATCTGGTTGATTGATGAAGTCTGTTTGCATAGCGCTCCAGCAAGGCCTGCTTGCTCACTTTGGGTCTGTGTGTGGAGAAGGGCATGCCTTCTCATCATTATTGCTGCTGTCGTGTGCAGGGCACCCTGTTCCTAAAACGAGATTTTGTGGGGTTGCAGTAATCCAGTAGAAACAGAAGGGAAATCTTAGTTTTGGCCCCGCATTAGAAATAAGAAACTTTTGCTGCTTCGTATAAAGTGGTCTGCTATTATAACTAGCCTCCGCTTTGCTGTATTAGCATTTTTATGTGCGTCATGCCTCCTGTAGTCACGGTGTCAACTTTTATTAGCAAATTTGTCAACACTCCATTAACCCCTGACAAAGCTTTAAAATAGTCACAGTGGCTCATCCTGCCTGTGGTTCCCTCCTTCTCCGTCGGCGACGCCTCATCTGGCTCAGCAGACCCAGGATCATTTTACTGGGGTTGCTATAACAGCACTCTAAACAAGTTTCATATCTATTAATATGAATCATATATATATAGCATGAGTCATGAAAGAGACCGTGGTGGCGGCTTCAGAAGAATGGCCTCACTCTTTAAAGTTAGATGCAAGACGGTGATGAAAGAGCATCCCGGGGAGACAACATGAAGGGGAGACGGTATTTAAGTCGTTGTATTCTAACAGATGATGGACGACGGCATATGTACACAATCTGCTGAGTCTGCAACCATTACATTAACCATTAATTGCTTTTTCTTTTCCCCCTACGTTCCCATATGTGTGTATGGAGGAGTTGATGGCTTGTGGTGTGCAGCGGGGCATATACACTGCAGGATTCATTTAATATTCCTGCTGCCAACCAGCCATAATCACCATTCTGCAGCACCTCCTTATGCTTTACAGTAAACTGTAGTTGTTTTTGTTTCTGTCCCTTTGAGCTTTTTAGAATTTTGGTTGTTTACATTTTCGACACTTAAATTTAACCCACCCTATCGAGCTAAACAGGCCTAATATAACTTTGTTGTCTCTGAGCAGGACAATTTTAAAGAAGCATCGCCATCCATGAGCCTGAAAAACACTGACTTCTATTTTGAAGAGCAGGTGGAAAAAGCTTGCCCGTGGATCAGAAATAGCTTGTTGCAAAGCAGCTTTGATCCGTCATGGTAACTTTTTTTTTTTTAATCATAACTTTAATGTAGCATCGGCGTGTTTCGGTATAAATAAAATGTGCACTCAAAAATGGCATTTATTATTTTTGCTAATCACCAGTTTCTGAGTAGTTGGGCTAGTGGGAAATCTTAAAATAGTCTTGAAAGGACCAGTTTCCTAAACTCTGTTTTGTTGTGCTAAGCTCATATTGAGGTGTTGTTGCTATGCAGTGGTTGCTAATTTAATGTGGCGTGACACTGCTGTACCATGCTGTTGCCAGGGCGATCGTGTTGTTGCCATGGTTTTTGCTTTGATTTTGGAGTGCTGTTGCCTTTCCTTGTTGCCATGCGGCTGCTGTGTCATTGCTGTGGTTTTGCAGTGCTGCTTTGTTGATGTCAGTGACGTTGAGTTAGTTCACTTTGACAAGTATGACCTCTGCCCCTGTAGGTCATCAAATCTCCCACCAGCCGCTGGTCATTGGGTCACATTTACACCCCTCACCGGCCTCCTCTCTACCCTCCTCTTCCACCCCCTCGACTCTTCCATCTTCCTTACAAAGCTCAGTTACAGGTCTTCCACACTTTTCCTTCTTCTGTTCTTCATTTCCACATATTTTAACACGTGCAGAAAACCACATGTGTAAGTGGTTTGATGGTTTTCAGCCCAATTCTCATTCTCACGTTTGCTGTGGCCGTTTCTCACTGTTCATCAGTTTGTCTTCGCGGTTATATTTTGTAGTGTTGCTTTTAATGCCAACCTGTTTAATTATAAAATAATAATTATAAAATACTAGCCCAATATTGACCAAACTACAACCACCTCGCAAGCATTGGACTCAGTCAGTGCGTTTACATGCACATCTAAGAGGATCTACATCTATAAACTGGGAGCCTTTTTCCTAGTTTGCATGCACGTTAGAAAATCAAATGCTCAAATGAAGTGCGTTCCACTCTGCTATGGTAGGTATTTTTCCTGGTTAGCCTAAAGCTTGGTTTATGCTCGACACATTTACTTTCCACTTGGTGATGCGGCTCGCGGATGGAACGCGCTTCACAACTTGCAGCGTTTATGGTTCATGCGGCTTGTCTCTGCGGTGAGCCAATATTCTCCCAAACTGAACGGGGCAGCATGGAGCTCTACGGCATGCATCCAACACTACACCATAGTAGAAGTAACATGGCATTCCAGCATTTTTTAACAGCGTTCTCGTCTTTTCCGACAGTGCGAGCTATTTCTCTCCAAGAATTATTAACAACATGTTGATCACGGTGATCTTTGAGAGCTGAATCATACAAATGTCTGTATTTACGAACCTCTGCCATACTAGTTCTTGCCAGTACGCCATGTTTTGCCACGTCCGATCGTCCGCGTGGTTAGAAAATTTCCTAGGTGCGCGGTGTGGAAAGTTTGGGCCGTGCAGAGGCGCTGTGGAGGGGTGTGGTTGTTAAAATGACGCAATTTTGCCGCGCGGAGCGTGCAGACCTCGCGGACGCGTCAAGCATAAACCAAGCTTAAGGCAACACAAATAGTAGACAAACATTGTTGGGAGTAGGGTTGTCAGGGTGCAAAAATTTAACCTCATGGTTATTATGACCAAAATTATCACGGTTTTCGGTATTATCGCGGTATTTTTTTAAACGGGTTACATTTTCAGACAACTAAATAAACCCTGTATATCAGGAAAATATTGTCCTCAGTTTGGTCTAAATTTAACCTAAAATTTGTTATTTTGTAATGATGTTGTTTATTAATGTCAGGTTTAAACCCCCTAGACACCGTACACAAGGAAGAAAAGAGACACAGAAGTCAGAATTCTGTTTTATGCTCGAGGAGAATGGAATAAGGCCTCACCAACTCAGTCTCCACTGAGCTGACAGTTCCTCCAATCCATTCTACCTTTGAGATCTGAGCGTGTACTTTTATTACAAGCTGGGAGGGTCCCTAGATACATGACTGATGAGCTGATCTGAAGGGAGGAGGAAAACACAGCTCTCAGTTTTTAATTGTTACAAGTTTCACACAAAGACCGTTCAGTGCTAATCAGTGTTTAATCATACGATGTGCAACAAACAGTTGCACGAGTCAGCAGCTGTCCTTTGGGTCACATTAGGTCAGGATCAAGACTCAGCATTCTTAAAGTCTCATGAGGAAATTTCAAAACAATACAGCAACTGTTTAAGCAAAAATGGTAAAATTTTTAAATGTAATAAAAGCTTAAAGCATGATAAAAGAAAACACATATAATTATCTTAATAATTTGTTTACATTTTTCCCCTTTAGTCTTTAAAATACCAATATTTGCCCATAACTTTTTTTTGTCTGTTTGATGACATCATTTAAAAAATATTAGATCAGATGATACTCAGTACTCAAGTAGCCTTCTAATCAGATACTTTTTTTTACTCTTACTTGAGTAATAAACCCTATATCAGGAAAATATTGTCCTCAGTTTGTATCCTTCCAGTGAGCTTTGCAGATGTGGGAAAATGTCATCAGGCAGTAATCATTGTTAAATTCATAATTATTCTCGGAGAGAGACCAACTCTTATCTGCCCCTGGGAGCCCCGTAATGCATAGCGTCATCTCAACATGGGGGTGTCCACGACACGGTTTATATGCAGGTAGCGGCACTGCAGCTGCTTTATATAGCGACTCGTTGCTTTCTCCCTCAACCCAAATCCTCGGATCACGCATTTTAGCTAAAACGCTAACGTTAGCTTGCCTTGCGTTGACTGTAGAGTTGTGGGTGATGGTCACGCAGATGTGTCATGAGATTTGAAGCGTTGCTGCCTTTCACAGACACTTCTTCTGCACGTGCTGCAAACAGGATAGCCGTCTTCTATCAGCTGCCCCTCAGCATTCTTCAAATATCCAAAAAATACCCGTACTTCCCACTTTGTCTTCTTTGAGGGATAATAAATGTCCTGAGCGCTGCCGTCTCCTCCTTTGGCCATTATTTCAGCTTTAGCTTCAAGAAAGTTTTGGTTGTAAACAACAAAGTGCGCATGTGCCACCGGCAACTTCAGCAGATGATACGGTGGCTGGGAAGGGTCACTGCGCCTACACCACAGCCACAGTATTCCACCGAGATAATATATTTTTATTTTTAAAGCAAGACGGTTATTATTATTGTCAACCTTTTTACCGGGGTTTACCGCTACACCGGTTACCGTGACAACCCTAGTTGGGAGTGAAGCAGACATAGTAAAAACAGGAAATGTGTTGCTAGTTTAAAAAAAATTATACTAAATGTTGTTACCTGTCGAGCAGAATGCATGAAACCTCGGCGTGACTGCTCAGACTTCAGTTAATTCCACTGAGAGGATGCAATATCGATGCTAATTTTCTGGCATTGTAGTCCTCGGGTCTGCAGCCTAGAACAGGATCAGAAACCTAATTTTGGCCACTTGTATCCATGATCTCATTCTTTCGGTCACTACCCAAAGCTCGTAACCATAGGTGAGGGTTGGAACCTTGATCAACCTTAGACCACCAAAACGGATCTCCTCAACACATTGGCTGTGCATATAATCCTGTCCATAAAAGTTATGAACAGAATCTGTGACAATGGGCAGTCTTAGCGGAGCCCAACTTACTGCCAGCAATGCAGGCCAAGCTCTGACACTGGTCACACTAACAGCCTATATCAGAGGGGCTGGTAGTTCGTTCATACTCTGAAAAAACAGCGAACACAGCCCTACAACATCCAGAGCTTTAAGGAACTCCAGGCGGATCTTATTTACCTGAGGTGCCTCGCCACCGAAGAGCTTTTTGACCACCTCAGTGACCTCAGCACCAGAGACTGAAGAGCCCAACCCAAAGACTCCAGACTCTGCTTCCTCACTGGAAGAAGTGCTGGTGGACATGAGGTCTTCAAAGTACTCTGCCTACCGATTCACAACATCTCGAGTTGAGGTCAGCAGAACACAGTCTGCACTATAAACAGTTTTGTCCACTGCTTTCTCTCCATGGTCTCACCAAACTCCTCCCATACCTGGGATTTTGCCTCCGCGACCACTCGAGCCGCATTCCACTTGGACTGCCAGTACCCAACAGGACTCTTTCTTCAGCTTGATGGCCTTCCTAAAGCCTGGTTTATGCTTCTCCGTCAGCTCCGCAAGGAACGGACACGCACGGATTGACGGAAGCGTTTTGCTCTTTTACTTCTCCGTCTCCTGGGGAGCGTTGCAAAGCAATTGCCCGGCAGGACCACAGAGGGCGTAGCGCTGTTCTGTGGTATCATGTCATGTATCGGTCCAAGATAGTGTGTTTATATGGTGTTTTTTGTGTATATAAGAGACTTTTAACACGGACATATTTGTCTCTCATTCTTCCACCGCTTCATGCGCTCCCCACATCTAAACCCACGTTTCCTGTCATTTCCGTCCACAAATTAAATGCTTGCTGCGCATCTTTTCACTCCTCCAGTCACGGGAAGATGAAACGTTCATATTTTTAGAGTTTTTTCGCGAGGTATTCTTCAAGCTTCTCCGTGTCTGGCCGCTAGTTAAACTCGGCTCTCTTTGCAATGGCGGCGCTGTAAACAACAGCGGCGTCCTGACCAATCACAAGCTTGCATAATCCGTCTCGTTCGACGGATGTTTAAAAAAGTGGGCTCGACTCCGTACGTACTTGCGTGCCTGCCGGATCCCTACGCAAGGACGGATAATGGTGTTGCGTGTCTCCGCACTGACGCAGAAGCATAAATCAAGCTTAACTGTTGGTGTCCAACAGCAGGTTTGGGGTCACCACCACGACAGGCACGGAACATGACCCACACAGACTCAAAGCAAGAGGAAATGTGGCGTCTATTATGGCATGCCTCAGAGACTCCAACCCTTTTTTATGTTGATATGTTATGAAGCCGCCAATATTTTAACAAGTGGACATAATTTTATTCATCGTCAATAACATTTTGAATAACGGTAAAAACTACCCATTGTCTCCTTGAACCAGTAGTTCAGTTTTCTAATGCACATTTAAATGCACTGAGTATTGGCTTTGTTATTTATAGAAATTTCCCTTGATTGATCACTTGTAAGATGAAACAAACATCCACAACAAAGAAAAAAACTACTGTTCTGCATTAAATATATTATTTTACCCTCTTTAATACTTGTTGTCCTATCGGTTATCCATTGAGTTTCCTTTCTTAAGACTAAACAAATGGGTTGGATGACAGTTGTAGAGACATGGCCAAAGCTTATCTGTACCCTGGGTGCTGGATGAGAGCGGTTCTGCCATCTCCAACCTCTGGACCTACCCTGCTCAGAGGAGGCCTGTGCATCTTGCCCATCAGCCTGAGATTCTGATCGCGGAAGTAGGGCGTCTGGAAGTCCCCGCCCAAGTAATCTGAAGTTTGCATCAGATTAGTCTGGCCACAGGAGGATGAGGAGGAGCTTGTTCCGAGCCCCGGGGGCGCCACAGTCTAGTGTGGTACACCCTGCCGGGCCTGCACCGTGGAATGGCATGGCTATGTCCTGAGACCCGGAGCTGTCACTGTTGGGTGTGGGAAGGATGCTGCTGCTCCAAATGTGGGACTTAAATAGTGACCATTGGTGTAGTGGACCATGGGACCGGGTATACTGTTGTTGACTGGAGGGGAAGGGGTGGGTCTCTCTACAGGTGGCTTCAGTGAGTACGACTGACCAACACACACCTCTGCAGGGTAGCCCATGTCTTTAACATGGAAGGATAGGTCTCTGGAAGGTTGCTTACAGAGGTGTGTCCCATCATTCTGAATGTGGGCCACTTGAGCCACTTGGTAATTCCAGGAGCGTATCTTCTGCTGCTGCTGCGTAGTATGATGTAGCTGCTGTTGCTGATGCTGCTGTAGATGAAGATGCTGCTGCTGCTTGGGATCTGTGTGGTTAGAAGGCAAGTGGTTCATGGGAGGTGGGCTCCCATTGGGGCTGTGGCTTTTTCTTGAGGGCCAATGATGCAGTTGGGAGACGGAAAGCCAGGAGTAGCAGGGTTACTTTGCATTGACACCTTGGAGCAGGCGCTGATAAGCAGGTTACGACTGATGGGGCTGGGGTTGGCGATCTGGCCCTCGCACATGGAGGTGGCTCCTGCACATTGGATCCGAGCATGGCAGAACTGGTTAAGCTGATGCACGATGGCGCTCAGGTCAGCCTGGCGGCTCTGGTGCAGCCCTGCAGCCATCGAGAGTGGAATGGTTGAGGTAGAGACGGTAACGTTGGGTGACGCGTCGCCATCTGGCAGCTTTCTGCTCCCCTGTAGGCCAGGTGGTGGCAGCTGCTGAAGGTGCTGCTGCTGGAGCATGACAGTGGGGGGCCCCTGCGGGTGGCTGAGGGCTGGATGCAGGGACAAAGTATGGAGTCTGGGTGGGCCCTGAGGGTGCTGGGCCAAAGTGGGAGGGTGTCTGAGAGTCTGGGTGTGAGCCTGCTGATGAGGGAGGGGCAAATGTAAAGTCTGAGGGAGGTCCTGCGGTTGAAGAGGTATGCTCTGCTGGGGCAGCGCAGGTAGAGAGGGGTGATGGTTTAAAGTGCTAGTCGAAGCCATATGATAGGATCCAGTAGGGGGGTTCATTATGACTTCAGAGTGCAAGCGCACCCAGCTACCATCAAAATCTTTTAGGATACCTTTGACCGTGGGTGCCTTGACGATGGCAAGGAGTCCTGTCTTGGCGCTGGCCTGACATATCCCGGCCATTGACCGTACGGTGCACGTGGTTTCGCTGGGGGACTTTGACGCTGTTGGGAAAGATCTTAATGGTGAGGGGGTTGTTGGCAACCTTCTTAGCATATGCATCCAATTCTGCAGGGGTTGGAAACGGAGCGGAACTCATCCTTTGTATGGTGTCCCATTTCTGGAGTCCAGTGTTCATCTGCGTGTGGGGGAGAAGTTGGAGGGGGAGGTCACCTGGCCCTTGCAGACAGGCCAGCATTTCACACAGACACTAATGCAGCATGGGACACACACTTCTTCTCACATCTCCGTTTTCCTCGGGGAAAGGCATCGTTTTTAGTATGTGGCCATGGTTAAAAACGGACAGATTTTCTCCCGGCTGCTCTCTGCGCTGACAGAATCACTGCTGCTGTCTGCGGCACAAACTGTCTGCAGCACCAATAGCTAACAAACTTAGTGAGGCGACTTTCTGTTCTTCCTCCTAAGATACCCATACATGTGCTCCCGTGAAAGGAGTTTCGCTTTGCAGAGTTTGCACTCTACGTGCCTTTCTTCAGAATTTGTATAATGCTCCTTTCAGCTATGTCGCGACTCGTCACTTTCTCCGATGAAGGCTGAGCTGGATGGCCACCACTAAGCATTCGCGTCGGAGCTAAAGCGGCGGCTGAGCATAAAGGCAAAAAGAAACTGCCAAACGTACTGCAGCAGGCGAGATAAAATGTCTTTTTTTTTTAAATAAGGTCTATTTTATTTGTCGGCGTCGTAGTGACTGTGTCACGCTCCGTTTTGGCTTGAGAGGGGAGGGCCTGGTGACGTATCATGCAGGTCTGTGGTTTTGATTGGTTAAGAGTAAGTAGTGAGTCTAGTATGCTGCTACCTGATATGAAAAAAGGAAACTTTTTTTTTTTTTATCTATCGCACCACATGTCTATTGATAGATATTTTGAACTTTTGAATTATCGTTCGGCCCTATTCTGGAGAACGAAAAATAATACCATGTTTGGATGAGGTGCTGACAGTTAATAAATGCTCAGTTCCCGGGAGATAAAGCGGGTAGAATTACTGCTGTTTCTGTGTGATTCACCATTGGAATGCACCCATTTTCTGCAGCCACATTACTTTCGAGTAGGCACACCTGTACACATCAGGGGGGTATTCCTGAAAGTGAGATTTCTTTTGAAACTCCCGGTGTAACATCCCCTAAATCGGTTCTATGAATGTGGCTAGCCTGCAAACCCTCCCAGTCACCATGGTAACACAGGCTGGAGAACAAACCTGCTCTGTGGCAAGCTAGCAGCTAGGCTTACTGACGCTTAGTGAATATGATTGGACGAGGCAAGTGACATCACCCTTTTCTTTTCGGTGTCTGGCAGTTATGAGGTGGTGAATTGGTACAGCCTACAACTGGCCCAAAGCAGAAGCAGCTGCAGCTTTGTTCTTGATGGATAAACAAGTTTAAACTTTTAAAATCTAGTTCTAATTGGATTTACATCCTGGAGCATTTATACATCAGCTTTTCACTACTACTAGACATGCTGTCCTCTTTATGAATTTGTAAATTAGCCTTAAACTACCTTACTAACTTCTTGCTAACATAATACATATGTAAAAGGAAATACTTTGTTGATGTGGCTATATATTCATTCTGGTCACACAGGCATGAATGAATAATTATTGCTCTGTCTGGATGAAGAACGAGGCTCCTCGCTTGGATTAGAAGAGTTTGAATCCACCTGAGAATCGTTTGTGGAGCCGGCGAAACCTGGAGGGGAGGGGAGCGCTTTGTCGAGCAGGGATTTATCAGGAGATCCCCAATGTTCTAATCTTGCTTTCTGGAATACCCCCCAGATCAGATCATCACAGACCACCATCAGTTGCTTAAATCGCACCCACATCAGAACACAATTGGATAGAGATGTGGTGTTTGTTGTGCCGAGGCAGTAAGAAATGTAGAAGTGCAGCACTTATGGTCTGACTGTCCAAGCTGTATCACAGTGATGCCAGATAGTTATAGTTATACCTTGTTTGTGTACACTTTAAGTTGCTGAATCGATTGCTCTGATCTGGAGGGAATACTGGCGCAGCTGCTGGAGGTGTATTCTGACTGGAAATGCAGTCACACAAAATGTCTAACAGTCGTGTTTTATGGAAATTTGGAGTTCGAGTCATCTGAAGCAGCATTACAGATGCAGTGCAAACCTACACCATTTAAGCTTCTGCTTACCTAGCCTTAATAAGAACGGACTGCCAGGACTTTTCTTGGAGAGCCAGGCTAAATAATTCACATCAGAAAATTATAATCACCCATTTATTTTCAGTCTCTCAACAAAACCCTGCAGATTGATGCTGGAGAGCCAGTAGAAATGTTTACAGTCTTATCCCACCACTCACCCACAATAAACTCAGGTCCTAGTATTTATATTGACTAGTTGGCTTATCCAGTCGTAGTACTAGTAGTACTTCAGCTCTAACTACATGGATAAGTGTTTTTATTGAACTAATGCAATCACAAACTAGTAATACAAAATTATCAAAAGGATATCCAAAAAATACACAACTATGAACTCAGTCCTACCTAAACCTGACCCCTTCTTGATATTTATGCAGTGGTTCTTTAACCGAGATCGTTCTGATGTCTTACTGCACAGCTAATATAAAACATATTGCTGAATGGAAATGACTCCCATTTCAGGAAATTAGCCGAATGTTACCTTACAAAAGTTGAGAAAAGGGTACGTTGATAAATACCTTTGCTGTCTTCTCTTTTTCTGCACTAGATGGAGCAGCCGTCCATGGACCAGAAGGGCCATGCCAATGTGCCATGGATTGTGGAGCCTGGTCAGGAGGCGAAGAGAGGAGTCAACACCAAGTACGAGACCACTATTTTCTAACATACACCTGCCTTGTCCACTCCTGTGTGTGTGTGCCTTTCAGAAGTTGCCCTGTATCGGGGCCCAGCCCCGGAGTTGGGCACGAGCGACGCACGCCGCCGCATCACCTCACCGGCTGAAAAACAAAAATTCAATACACCTCGCCCTGTCGTCATTAGCCAAGCCTGTCCACTGCATGATGACCATTGGCGCTGCAATGTTTCTCTTCTTTTTGTTCTCCCCCTTCCCGGCCCGGCCCTCATCCTCTCGCTTGTAGGGCTGGCGCATGACCTCTGAACCCCAGGGTAGTGGTGCATTTCTGTCTCCACCTGTAGGAAGAATGGTCAGCTCAGTTATTCCACGCCCAGCTCGTCTCTTTCCTTCCTGTTGATAGGTACAACTGTTTAGCTTCACATCTCTCCTTTTTTTCCTTCATCCCTCACATTTCTCTACATTTCAGCCCCTTTGTCCAACTGCTCTCGACAACTTTAACGAGATTCAACAAAGAATACTGCTCTAAGAGCTGTAACAGTGTTTTAGCTGTCTGTTGAAGCCTAGTGTGGGAGCTGACCAACGTGAGGGATGTTGTCTGAACTCAACAACTGGAGGAAAGTTCAGACTTTTAAAATATTTTTTTAAAAGAGGAGAGGTGATGTAGCACAATAACTTCATTTATAGCTGGTTCATCCAGCTGGCTACTAGAATGTATTTCAACTTTGAATCTTTATATCAAGTATTTTTTTGGAGATACTAACAAACTTGTGATTTTTTGTTTCAAAACTAGATTTTCAAATTGACCTATGACACAGGACCACAAAATAGTTTTTGCTTTTCTAGAACCTTTTTCAACATGTTTGTGTATTTGTTCAGTTAACTCTTTTCTGGCTTATTAACCTTATTTTAATTGTTGGGGGGAAAAATGTGTGTAAAAGGTTTAGCATGTGGCTCGTGGGACGCATGGTGGCCTTTTTTGGATTTGCTGGGCAGGGTGCCAGTGGAGAGGCGGTGTGTGAGGGCTCTCTCGATAAGTGATGTCATCTCATTTGCAGGGCAATGGCGGACGCTCATGTCTATTACTGTGGAATGCAAAGAATGTAGCCAGCCCTAAACATGGACCTTGTCACACATACAATGCAAAATGGACTACAAAGGACTCTCTTGCTTACTTTTCAAAAGGACAACATACATGGATGCTACTCCACTTTCTTTAAGGTTGAAAACGTAAAATTGGATGGGTAAAGTCAGAGACACACACACAACCGGACTGCACCCTGACACATGATGTCTGCTCTGAATGTACACTTATTTTAAAGCAGCCTCGACTTCTACCGTTACAGCAGGATCCGTTTTATGCACTCCACCTGGAAAGCATGATTGTTGAACTTGTGTGCGGTCAACATCTTCACTGAAACTGAGTACAGTAACAGGGCATTTGTTGGTAAGAGACGATGGGCATGTTTATTTATTGGCATGGGTTTAAGGATATATGGCTGGTTCTTTTTTACATTTTCTTTAATGTCAGAAAATAAATATGCACAAGCGTGTAAATGTGACTGAACTTGCTGCAACACGCGTCTTAACAAATAATGACCCTGCGTGAACAAAAAGGCATCTAGTGTTTAAAAAAATAAGAGGTATTCTATTCGTATTGCCCGACATTTTAATGTTTAATATGAGAGTATTCTATTACCATGATGATGATAATCCTTGTGCAATTCTTGTCTAATGTTGTCTTAATGTTACATTATTTTTCTATGACATGCCGAGACGAAAACCTTGAGCCTGAGAAATGATGGCAATCCTTTAAAAAAAATCTGGAACTAGGTGTTCATACTTGTACAGAGAGTGAATGTTGTAGGTTGCTTGCTAACTCCTAGGTCAGGTCAACCTCCACTTCTCATGGAGCTCTACTATTATCTTGCAGATGTACTATTTTAAAAGCAGTATTACTGTATTATTTGGATGAGACATTATCCAGTTATAAAATGTACATAGATATTTTGCCAACTCATTGTTAATACATGTAAAAAGAGAAGATTTGCAGTAAATGGCACTGGAAACAAGGTACCAAAATAAAGGCTGGATATTTCGAAAAGTGGTAGTTTGTAGAGGTTGTATCTTGAGTGAAAACATGGATTGTTTGGTAACATCACTGCTGATTTATTAATATATATAAATATATATATAGGCTTGGGCTTCCAGCACACTAATTTTTGTAATTTTGGCCATTATTTATATCCTTGTAAAGCACATGAAATAAAATCTGACTTGTAAAACCATGTATTAGTTTGAAGTTGTCCTGAATTTCCTCTACCACTACACAAAGTCTTAAGGTGTGCACAAATATGACACTTCTTTAGCTCAATATGGAGGTTTGTTTTTAGCACAAAATGATTATCAGAATTTCAAAACCATTTTTGTCAGTAAGTTAAAGTTTTAAGTCAATATCAACTTTTGTTTTCTCCTAAACTTCCATCCTTTACTGTCTAGTTCATGAACTGTTAATATTCACTTTTTTTGACACCACTGGCTCACACATGAGAGCGGGGCAGAAAATAATTTTTACTTTTGAATTTTTAAATAATTTTATGCAATACTTATGACTACAAAAAATAGCATCTAAAAATATCCTCATGAATTTTTGTTCAATTGGTTAATAAAGCGAATGTCAACATTACAAAGAAACACATTTGAGTTCATCTGTATGATTTAAGTCATTGGAGAAGTTTTTGCAGGTAATGCCAATAAACATTGCAGACCATTTGAAAACTGCTAATAACGTGTGCTGGTTGTTGCTTTTACACCGTTCTTTGAACATTGTGGATGCATTTCTATATTTTAAGCACACCCCCTTAATTTGGTACCTTAGGTGAAAGAACTGAGGCCCAAAAATGGCGGTGCCTACCTCACCAGATGCTGCATCCAATCAACAACATGGGATGTCAGAAACACTTCTTGAACCAAGTCCCCTGCGATCAGCACCTAAAATGGGAAAATGTTTACTCTAAATGGTAAATGTTACTCTTCTAGGCATTTTTCTGATGTAAATCAACAAATAAAACATGTCTGCCCCTCATAGAAAATCTGTTATGTTAAAGCCTTGTGTATTTAACATCTTGAAGTTTTAAATTTATACTTTGGAAAACGTATTAGTGATGTGAAAGTGGAAGTAGAACTGTGGATTTTCATCCATGTATTAGGAGATTGTTTAGGGACGCTGCTATGCCTAAAGCCAGGCGCTAATTGGAAAAAGCTTCTGCAGCTCTCACTTCGACAATGGATTGTGAAACAGAAAAAGCTAGAAACACGCCAGTTCTCCCGGATGTAAGCAGTGAGTCTTTCTTTTGGTAGTTTGGGTGTTTACATGATCATAGAGCACAATATTCTGTGACTCTTTAAAAAACGCTGACAGTCACAGGCTTTGTGATCAGAAAACAGCTGGCAGTGAATGAGTTAGGAATGTTTTAAATAAATTGTAAAATAAATAATTATAAAAATTTGAAAATAATTTATGAGGTGGTTCTCTTGCATTTGTGTAAAACCCTCCGCCAGTAACACGGCTAATGGACCGTCACCATCAGGTTGTCTAACCAAATCGCCACACTTCCCCGGGTCCTCTGGTGTGAGAGGTTCTCCACTCGATATCAGAAGTATAAAAGCTGCCACCGCTTCAACTTTAAGACAAACAACCAGAGTCACACCATTTTGAAGACATGAAACAAGACGTTTGGACCTTGAAAATGGCGACTGGTTTTTAGCTCCATCTTGTGTCCTCCAGTATCTCAGGTCTCCGATTCCGGCAGAAGTGTTTCAGGGAAGATAACCGAGAGTGTGAAGCCTATTTCACACTGAAAGCATCAGTGGCGCAGAACGTCACTGCTTTAAATAAAATCCATTACAGTCTATGGAGTGTTTCAAACCAGCCGCGATGCGGCAATTTTCTGGCGTGACCCAGGGATGGCCCGCCGTGCCGCTAAAGGTAGGATCGGGTTCTATTTTTGCCACATGCCACTTCTGGAATGTGTAAATATACACAGTTAACATAGGGCTAGACAGGAAATTACAGTGTTTAAGTGTAAAATCCTCAGTAGTGTGACCCAACAACTTATTTACCAAGATTTGTGCATCCAGAAGTGCAGCAGTGTTTTTCATGTAGGGCTGCAACAACGAATCGATAAATTCGATGAAAATCGATTACTAAAAGCGTTGGCAACGAATTGCGTCATCGATTCGTTGTGTTGCGCAACTCTTCCAAAAGCCCCCTCCCCTCCCGCCCGCCGTTGCGCGCAGACCGGTTGAGAGCCGGCAGGTGTTTGTAAGAGGAACATGGCAGAAGCAACGAGACCCCAAAAAAGTAAAAACTTCTAAAGTTTGGGAGCATTTTCATTTAAATCAGGCGAAGACATGCAACGTTTAGGTCAGACAGCATGGCACGGGGATACTACGGTGATGATGCAGCGTCTTAAACGCAAGCATGTCAGAATCATCAGCGAGGAAGGAGAGAGCTCGGTGTCCGGTTAAGATTATTACACAGGCTAGACATGCCCTAAGCTCGTTAAAAAAAGTCTATAAAATTGTAAGAGCGATGCTATTAGATAGGCGGGGGGGGGGGGGGGGGGGGAGACTCGCGCCGCTGCAAACCGGTTCCGCCGTCACATTCCCGCAGAAACTGGTTGATCACACCGGGGCCAGACTACTAACATGTGGTTTTACAACCACAATGTCCTCAGAAGCGAAAACGCTTTTAAAAGGGAGGGAGGAGTCCTAACTGTTGCTGCAGGCGTGTTGTGTGCGTGCAGTTATATACTGGATAGGGCTGCAACAAACGATTATTTGGATAATCGATTAATCGGATGGGGTCTCGACACGATTAATCGATTAATCGGATTACATAGGGACATTTTTTAAAACTGCTAGGGAAACGTTATTTTTCCTCCTTCATTCACTTTATTAAACACAACATTATTAGAAAACAGTTCAATAGCAGAAAAACAACATGCCATCACCTAAATTGTCTTATAAGGCGTATAGACAGAGACCCTAAGCTACAACTATCTGTGACCTAAAATGCTTGGTCCAAATTAAACAGCTTAAAGAGCAAGTCAACCCCTACCAGAGTCTAACTAAACTCCCGCTTCATGTTTGAAAAATGCAACACATGCTGTTGCCTGGCAGACCGAGAGGGCGGAGCCGCTAACAAATACACACACACTCAGGCTCACGACAATTGCTATTCTCATCTGTTTTGTTTGATCTCATCTGTAGACATTTATTATAATTGGGGATGTCAAACAACTAATTTTTAAATGTAATTAAACATAGGCTGTGAATTAATCAAAATTAATCACTATTTCCAAAAATGACTGAAAAATACCAAATAAAACAAAAGTAAATGAATGCCATCCTCCTTGCGATGATGCCCTGGGCAACTGCCATAAAGTCACATCAAGAAATGCTGCTGATCATTCCAATGATCCCAAATAGACTCACATTAGGCCACATGAAAGCAACTGAACCCAAAAATATATTAACCAGTATATAACTGCACTCACACAACACGCCTGCAGCAACAGGTAGGACTCCTCCCTCCCTTTTAAAAGCGTTTTTGCTTCTGAGGACATTGTGGTTGTAAAGCCACATGTTAGTAGTCTGGCCCCGGTGTGATCAACCAGTTTCTGCGGGAATGTGACGGCGGAACCGGTTCGCGGAGGCGCGAGTCCCCCCCCCGCCTATCAAATAGCGTCGCGCTTACAATTTTATAGACTTTTTTTACGAGCTTAGGGCATGTCTAGCCTGTGCAATAATCTGGGGCTTGGGTGAATCACTTTTGAAAAGTTTTTAACTTACCCGGACACCGAGCTCTCTCCTTCCTCGCTGATGATTCTGACATGCTTACGTTTAAGACGCTGCATCATCACCGTAGTATCCCCGTGCCATGCTTAGTCTGACCTACAAACGTTGCATGTCTTCGCCTGATTTAACTGAAAATGCTCCCAAACTTTAGAAGTGTTTACTTTTTTGGGGTCTCGCTGCTTCTGCCATGTTCCTCTTACAAGCACCTGCCGGCTCTCCACCGGTCTGCGCGCAACGGCGGGCGGGAGGGGAGGGGGCTTTTGGAAGAGTTGCGCAACACAACGAATCGATGACTCAATTCGTTGCCAACGCTTTTAGTAATCGATTTTCATCGAATTCATCGATTCGTTGTTGCAGCCCTAATACTGGATAAGATATTTTTGGGTTAAGTTGCTTTCATGTGGCCTAATGTGAGTCTATGTGGGATCATTGGAATGATCAGCAGCATTTCTTGATGTGACTTTATGGCAGTTGCCCAGGGCAACTGTACAAGGAGGATGGCATTCATTTACTTTAGTTTTATTTGGTATTTTTTCAGTCATTTTTGGAAATAGTGATTAATTTTGATTAATTCACAGCCTATGTTTAATTACATTTAAAAATTAGTTGTTTAACATCCCCAATTATAATAAATGTCTATAGATGAGATCAAACAAAACAGATGAGAATTGCCCTTAAAGAGCAAGTCACCCCCAAATAAACTTTTTTTTTGCTGATAAACTAAATAAACGAGTGTCTAATCATGCTGCAGACACGTGTCGTCAATAATTTGGCACTTCAGTGCATCTTAGTTAAATTTTAAATATTCTGCCTAAAACTGGCAGTGTTGTGCCGTTGTCGGGTAAAAACTCTGCACTGTATTTTAATTTAAATCTGCCACCGCTATTGGCTAAGAAGTATGCTATGATGTAAACTGGTACATTATGATGTCACAATGCTGTCGTGAGCCTGAGTGTGTGTGTATTTGTTAGCGGCTCTGCCCTCTCGGTCTGCCAGGCAACAGCATGTGTTGCATTTTTCAAACATGAAGCGGGAGTGGAGTTAGACTCTGGTAGGGGTTGACTTGCTCTTTAAGCTGTTTAACTTGGACCAAGCATTTTAGGTCACAGATAGGTGTAGCTTAGGGTCTCTGTCTATACACCTTATAAGACAATTTAGGTGATGGCATTTTGTTTTTCTGCTATTGAACTGTTTTCTAATAATGTTGTGTTTAATAAAGTGAAGGAAGGAGAGAAATAACGTTTCCCTAGCAGTTTTTAAAAATGTCCCCATGTAATCCGATTAATCGATTAATCGTGTCGAGACCCCATCCGATTAATCGATTATCCAAATAATCGTTTGTTGCAGCCCTATTTTCATGGCTTTAATCCTGGCAGTGGAGAGGAGCAACATCATACGACATCAAAAAGCGATTTCCTTCTTTTTT